CTGTGTGAGTGTGTGTGTGAGTGAGGGTGAGTGTGTGTGAGTGTGTGAGTGAGTGTGAGTGTGTGAGTGTGAATGTGAGTGTGTGAGTGTGAGTGTGTGTGAGTGCGTCTGTGTGAGTGTGTGCGTGAGTGAGGGTGAGTGTGTGAGTGTGAGTGTGAGAGTGAGAGTGTGAGTGTGTGAGTGAGTGTGAGTGTGTGATTATGTGATTGTGAGTGTGAGTGTGTGTGTGATTGTGTGAGTGCGAGTGTGTGAGTGCGAGTGTGAGAGTGTGAGTGTGTGTGAGTGTGTGAATGTGATGTGTGTGTGTGTGAGAGTGTGAGTGTGAGAGTGTGAGTGTGTGTGTGTGTGAGTGTGTGAGTATGAGTGAGTGTGAGTGTGTGAATGTGAGTTTGTGAGTGTGTGTGTGTGAGTGTGTGTTTGTGAGTATGAGTGAGTGTGAGTGTGTGTGTTTGAGTGTGTGTGTGTGAGTGTGTGTTTGTGAGTGTGTGAGTGTGAGTATGTGTGTGTGTGAGTGTGAGAGTGTGAGTGTGAGTGTGTTTGTGAGTGTGTGAGTGTGAGTATTTGTGTGTGTGAGTGTGAGTGTGTGAGTGTGAGAGTGTGAGTGTGAGTATGTGTGTGTGTGAGTGTGAGAGTGTGAGTGTGAGTGTGTGAGTGTGAGTGAGTAGTGGTGATGGGCTCATGCTCCCGGCCTTGCTGCTGCCTGATCCAGAAGCACTTGCTGACCATTCCTCCCCTGGCTCCCCTCAGGCCTGTACTGCCGAGACCCTCGAGTTACACAGCTACGGCATGTTACTGGGCTGTGGGGAGGAACTCTTCCGAGGGGTGGAGTATGTCTGCTGCCCATCCCGATTCCAGGGAGCCGGGTTCGAGGATGTGATGGTACCCGTGTCGATGGATGAGGAGGATGAAGGGGACCGAGATAACAGTCAACCCAAGGACAGGTAACGCAGAGGTGGGGCATTTGGGAGAGAGGTTTGATGGCTGGGGAGCTTCCACAGTAAGGATCTCAGGCTCCGAACCAGGCTGTTCAGCCCATCATTCCTGTATTGCTTCTATCCCCCTAGTGTTGAGCTCCAGGCTTTACCCCTGTTTCTTTCTGCTGAACGTCCCTCCACCTCATGCCCAGATCCAGCTTCACACATCGCTTTCCGACCTATCATTGTGTTCCCAGTGAATTTAACTGCTGTATGTTCAGCGTCTGTTTCCAAATTGCCATTGCAGCACTGGTCCCCCGAGGCTGGTGTGTGTATTCTTTACAATCCGTAATGTGTGGGAGCAGGCCATTCGGCCCATCGAGTCCACACTGACTCTCTGAACCCAGAGCCATCCTATCCTTGTAACTCTGCATTTCCCACAGCCCATCCATCCCTAACCTGCACATCTTTGGACTGTGGGAGGAAACCGGAGCACCCGGAGGAAACCCACGCAGACACGGGGAGAATGTGCAAACTCCACACAGACAGTCTCCCGAGGGTGGGATCGAACCTGAGTCTCTGGCGCCGTGAGGCAACAGTGCTAACCACTGAGCCTCCATGCTACCAATGACCAGGAGCAGTCTCCTGTTTATAAGCTGGCAGCCAGGGCTCCCTGACTGGGGCTGTTATCCTGGTACAATCAGGAAAATCGTCCTCACGCAGGTCTACTTGGCCAACCCTATTCCAATCACAGCTTGAGATGTCCTTCCAGCCTGAAAATGAACCATGTATTCCTGCTCTGTTTTCTGTTCCTCCAGCCAATCCCCTCTCTGTGTCAATCTGTGCCCACACCCCTACACCTGAAGCATTTATTTGACACAATAACCTTTGGTGTGACACCTTATCAAACACCTCCTTTGTGGGGTAAATCTACTCACCTGCCCCCTGCCTCATTCCATCAGACCTAAAGTCTTTCATAATAGCCTCCGGGTCGTCAGGACGTTAGGAATAGGAGCAGGACGAGGCCATTCAGCCCCTCGACCCTGCTCCACCATTCTGTAAGATCGTGGCTGATCTTTTCACGGCTTCAGCTCCACTTACCCACCCGCTCAGCCTAACCCTTAATCCCTTTACTGTTCACAAATTTATCTTTGCATTTGAAACACTCAACGAGGAAGCCCCAGCTGCTTCACTGGGCAGGGAATTCCACAGATTCACAGCCCTTTGGGTGAAGATGTTCCTCCTCAATTCAGTCCTAAACCTGCTCCCCCTTATTTTGAGGCTATGCCCCCTCG